GTGGGCAGCCCTGGTACAGGCAGAGAAACTCACAGGGTGCCAATCCTCAACAGCAGCCCTGGTACAGGCAGAGAAACTCACAGTGTGCCAATCCTCAACAGCAGCCCTGGTACAGGCAGAGAAACTCACAGTGTGCCAAATCCTCCCACAGCAGCCCTGGTACAGGCAGAGAAACTCACAGTGTGCCAATCCTCACACAGCAGCACTGGTACAGGCAGAGAAACTCACAGTGTGCCAATCCTCAACAGCAGCACTGGTACAGGCAGAGAAACTCACAGTGTGCCAAACCTCAACAGCAGCCCTGGCCTGGTCCTGCAGCAGCTCAGCCACCAGCTCTGTTCCCACACTGGCACTGTGTGTGCAGAAGCAGTGGAAGTGCTTTCTTTTTCTCATAATATGTTTCCTCTTATTTGTTTGTCCATTTGGGGGCTGCAGTTCTCACTAAAGCTCCCTCCAGAGCACGGATTTCCCACTGCCCAGAGATGTGTTCTCCACAGAGCTCTGTTTCCATTTAGCCAGAGTTCCACTCTCACAGGCTGGGGCTGTCTCAGCAGCGCTGGCAGCAGATGCTGATGGAAGAGAAAGGAATTCTGCACATCCCAACCCAGGGGAACCTGCCCACAGAGACATTTCTGCCCCAGCCACCTGGAGCCTGAGTTATGCCCTCAAGTAGAAAGCTTCACATCCCTTCAAAACCTGGAAAAAAAAATAAAAAAAAATAGAACTATTGTGATTTCACCAAACTTTTTGTGAATTATCTGTCTCTTCATAAAGAACAATCGAGTTCTTGCCTGTGGTTTGCATGGTGGCAATTTCCTCAATAAGTCAGTTTTGCTCAGTTCTGAAATAGATTTCTGTTGCTTTTCTGTTTGATCCATTTTGATTTAATTAAGTGGTCAAAATTTAAAGTATATTTTTTTCCATCTAGAAAAATAAATCCTTCATTGCAGCTTTTCAGCAAATTGTCTAGCTAGGTCTTTGTCTGAGTTTTTACACTCCTGAGAGATTGTTTAAGCAAGCATCTCATTTATCTGCTGTAAAAACAATATTTTAAAGATGCAATTTTCTGTGAAAGAAGCTGGTTGAAAATGTAACTCTCTTCTGTATTTTATGGATCATTTGCTCAGACATAATGAATTCTGCTGGATCTGATGAACTTTACTGCTCATGATATCACCATTTTTGCTTTGTTTCTCATTGCTTGCCTTTTACACCTGTAAAAAGTCCTTGAGTTCTTGATTAGTCTCTTGGCTTAAAGGACCTGTCTTCTGCCAGGCTGAAAAATTATTCAGATTCTTTACTTTTGATTCACCATTGCTCTGGAATAATGAATGGTGCCTTCCTTATAATGACCCAAAACATCAAGGGTGGCTTCCCACTCTCCAAGAAAAGACACAGGTCCAGCTTTTTCATTGGGATAAAAAACTTGTTAATAAAATCAGCACAGTGGCTCAGACGCCTTCCCCTGCTAGACCTCCGACAGCAGAGTCACAGATCTTAAGAAGAAGAAAGGGAAGGAGAAACAGAGATTTATGGGAGGAAAAAAGGGGGGGAAATGTGATTTCAGATGGGATCAGGCAAAAGAAAAGAATGTTACCGTCAGTCCTCTCCCACCAAATTTGCCTCTGCCCAGTTCAATACTGGGCACTGCTCAGGTCAGGGATTCATTAAAATGCAATAAAGTGAAAATATTTCTGAAAACATGGAGCCATCATGGAGCTACTTGAAGAATTCTCCTTAAAGGGACCGATTCAAACCCAACAGGATCTTCTGCACTGATTTCAAGAGGCTTTCAATTACACCAGAACCATGCAGGGTTGAAACAAATGCTGAGCAGGTTGGTGGCAAGGTGTGTGAGGGAAGCCAACAGTTCTGCTGCTCTGAAAAGAGTTTGTCATGGACAGGAACACAGCAGCACTGCTGTACACAGTTTATCATGGACAGGAACACAGCAGCACTGCTGTACACAGTTTATCATGGACAGGAACACAGCAGCACTGCTGTACACAGTTTATCATGGACAGGAACACAGCAGCACTGCTCTAACAGAGTTTATCATGGACAGGAACACACCAGCACTGCTCTAACACAGTTTATCATGGACAGGAACACAGCAGCACTGCTCTAACACAGTTTATCATGGACAGGAGCACAGCAGCACTGCTGTACAGAGTTTATCATGGACAGGAACACACCAGCACTGCTGTACACAGTTTATCATGGACAGGAGCACAGCAGCACTGCTGTACACAGTTTATCATGGACAGGAACACAGCAGCACTGCTGTACACAGTTTATCATGGACAGGAACACAGCAGCACTGCTCTAACACAGTTTATCATGGACAGGAACACAGCAGCACTGCATTCTCTGGCACAGGAAGAGCTCCCTCTGCCCAGGAACTCTGTGCAAGGAAAACTGGCACAGGCCTGAACATTGTAAAATGCTTGAAGAGTTAATATTCATCAAAAGTTTCAAACTTGTTCTATCAAAACTATCAGAAAGGGCTTGTATTTCCCTCTCACCCAGTGCATTTGACATGTGCATACCCTTTTCAAATGTCCTTGCATGTCCTGTTCCCAGCACTGACCTCTACTGTCTGTGCTGGACTTGGGTATTATTATTTTTTACTAAATGAGAGCTCTTTAATCAGCTTTCAAAACATTGTGAACTGAAACTGCTCTTATTTAAAAGTTTAACTTTACTTTCATCAATTTATAATCAGAGTTCCTCTGGTATGTTTGATTCCTGACAAACAAGGATAAAAGTCTTGTGCCCCCATTGCTAATGAGATGATAAAACAGCAGGGATCAAGTTTTTAATTACTACAGGCTATGCACTGGAGAGGTACCAGTGATATTTTCTATTGCATGTCTAAGTTGTAACTTCAGGCTTATGACAGTCATGCTGTGTTCCTCTGCCTTTGATGATCACTCATCTTTGTCTCCTGAGAACATACAAAAATTTCTGAGCTGGGCTCCTGGGGGCTCGCAATTATTGCTGTAACCTGGCCCAGGTTCCAGGGCAGCAGCAGCGCTGCTCAGCGAGGATCCCGTGTCTGAGCCAGCAGAGCACACGCAAAACATCGGCAACTTCTCTTCTCACACAGTCTAGATTCTCCATCTAGTCATTCCTTTAATAATTCTGCTTTTAATTAAGTAGGAGAATAATTTAATATTGTTCCTTTTTTTCCTTTTAGAAGCACATTCCATTACCTACTCATACATAAAGCATCAGGGCCACAGGCACACAGCAGTGCAGGGTTTTGGCACTAGGGGACCCAGGGCTCGGAAAATCGGCAATACAAGAATGTTTTTGGAAATGATCATCATTCCTTCCGTGTTTAGAAGCTTGTTGTGAGTGAGTTTTGTTTCCTTGAAAAAAATTAGCACTGATGCAAGAGGTAAAAATGCATTTCTAAGTAACAAATGTTTTCATCATTAGGCAGAGCTGAGGTTGATAATGTTGCAGAGCCGTCCTTCCCCTCGGCAGTGCTGCAGATGTTCCCCACCCTGATGAGCCTGACCTGAGTGTGTTTGGCCACTGCTGTGGTCATTGCAGGGCTCCTCCTGCCCCCCCACAGCCCTGTGCCACAGAGGAGACAGCTCTGTGTCCCCACTCTGTCCCTGTACCCCCAAATCTTCCCCTGAACGCAGCCCTGCCTTTCCTCTGCCACAGCTGCACAGCTCTGACACTGTCCCATGGCATCCTACAGACATCATTTCCTTCCAATGCCTTTATGCTGAGAGAGCACTCTGGGAAAAATTATTTCATCCCTATTTCGTGTTGCCTTTTGTGTTTAATCTCTGCTTGATGTGAGAGATAGGTATGTCTCAGCCTTTTATCCAACTAAAATGAAGCTGCCATTCCTTTCCTTAGTTCCTTCACTTTACACTTCTTCTCTGCAGCTAAATCCTAACCCAGGAGAGAGTTTTCCCTCTGGGGAAGGAGTGAAGACCTCAGAAGCAGTGACATCTCCAGTGGAGTTGGCAAGGGGAATAAGATGAGCCTGGGCTCAGGAGTAGGAGGTTCTCCTTGAGTGCTGAAACACAAAAAAAAAGAAACTACTTTTTCCCTGTCTAAACTAAGATTTTACAGTGGCATCATTTGTGAAGGGGTAAAATTCCAAAGGACGTGCTTTTGTGCAGAGATATTGCAAAATACTCGGTGTAAGCAACCCTTAAGTAATATATTAATTTCTGTAAGGACTGGGAGCTGTGATGTGGCTCGGCCTCTCCAGGGACTGCGTGTCAGAGGCTGCAGGAATCAGGAGCCCAGCTGAGCCACTTCTCTCTAGCTTGAGGATAAAACCCCAGGGCTTCAGTAGCCCCATCCAGGCTGGCTGTAAATAATCATTCTTAGGGGAAACACGGGGGTAACACTCACTTCAAAAAGTATTTCACAAATCTGAAACTTCTGTTAAGTAACCAACCATGATTAATGCACTTGGCTGTAGGAATCAATTATGTTTTAAAAGCAAATCATGAAGGAGACTTCATCCTTGTTTTGTTTTACAACTGATGTGACAGATCAAAAATGCTAACACTACAAGTACTGCACTGATTGGAACCCAAACAGCTGAAATCTACATTTAGCACTGATTTATTTTACAAATGTAGGACATGCAAGTACCAGACTATTGTTGTGGCTCTTCCGAACCTCCAGCTCATATCAGCTCCAACCACTGCATAAACACAATCAAGAGACATTTAATGTGCTGCATAATAGAACTTGAAATGAAGTTGATCATAAAATGTGTGTAATCTAAGCTGCAGAAATCCCTCCACTCTAATGATCTGTTCCCTAAAAAGAGAAATGTAAAGTGTTTAAAAGATTTAGCAAAATCTGTGCATAGATTGAATAAATCATCATGGGTATCAATTACATCTTAAAAATAGTGTACAGCTCTTATAACATCAAGGACTGGTTTTAATTACGGCTTCAGTGTAACTAATATTTTCTTAATTTTAATGAATGTTGTCCTATTATAGGATTAACTGTGAAGAAGCTGAAGAAGCCAAAAGAATTTTCAATTAAAGGAATTGCAGAGACATGTGACAGGTACACCAATAACAGCAGATGGTTTTGAAGTACGTTGGATTTTGGCCCAAATGCTCTTCACTTTCTGACTCATCCCATGGGAGTGTGGCAATGAGACTTGGCCTTTCTTCCACAAGGGTAAAAAGTAAATATTGTAATGGGCTGCGAGGGCAAAGCTGTAGTAAATTCCTGTCTATACATGAGAAATTTGCATAACTAAAATGATCCAAGAACATCACTGTAATTCTTGCTGGGGAGGCCCATCAGTAACTGAGCTCTTGCAGGTTCCAGGGCTCAGCTGTGGCTCGTGGGCAGCTGTGTTTATGTTCAATGTGAGGAGCAGCACAACTGCAGCAGCAAGGCAAGGTGTGCACTGAAATGTTGTGCAAAGCTCAAAGAAACACCTGGAAGCCTCCTGAATCAAAAAGAAAACAAAAAAAAAATCCCTGACTTTGCATTTATCATCACAGTTTCGAACCATTTTAATGTTTTATTAGTGAGGGAAGTACAGACAGGGCAGAGAAGCAGGGGGCTGGGAAGTGCCAAGAGCCCGTTTGTGGCACTCAGAGAGTTCCCCCTCTCTGCCTGGCTTACCCAAAGGGTGAGCACAGTCAAATATCAATAGTCCTGCCCTTTCTGTGCAGGATCTTTCATTTGGCTCCATCCTTAGGCTGCTGCTCATGAATGAGCTCTCATGTGGGACATGAGGAGCCGGAGCTGATGATCCACACACAGTTTGTGGGCTGGGTTTGTGTAAACACACAAAGTGTTGGAGATTCAGAGTCATCACTCAGCCTGGAAAATGGCCTTTGAATACAGAAGGAACTTCACATTGCTTTTATACTAAACCACTGCTACTATTAAATTCAAGTAAGAATCCAAACCGAAATATTCATGTTCATGGAGAAATGAATGCAGTTCTCAAGGCTCCACTCACCTCAAGCCTCGTGATTCCTGTGTGCTACACACAGAAACATTTGCATTTGGCATCTCATTTTTCTTCAGCAAATTTATTTCCTGTGACTCTTTCATCAGAAGAGCTGTACTGTGTATCAAGAATATTATTTTGCTTATAGAAAAGGAAAAGGGGATAATAGGTGCTTTTTATGTCTCCTGCTGCTGGAGAGCCATAATATTTAAGTCATAAATGGGCAAATGTCAAAGCAGGTCTCCTCTGTGCCTGACTCCCCCTGATAATTAGGTGCTGGTTTATTGTTGTGTGACTGAGTGGTGAGTCCAGCTGCCAGCTGCCATAACTCAGAATGGAAGGACCACATTCCTCATAACCAGACAACTCCCTTCAAAATCCATGGCATATTTACAGCCCTCAGGTTTGCAGGATCAGGTTTCAGGCCATAGCTGTGCACAGCAAAATAATACCTCAGCCTCTGTGCACTCTTCAATGCTTGGATTTGAGTGCCAGGAGTGGGCCTTGCCTTTTCCTCCCCCATCCATGGAATCAGAAAGAAGCCCCATGGAAAGGAGACCTCTGTGGTTCCCAGCCACCACAGCAGGCATTTGATGCAGCAACCCACAGAAAAACTGAACAGCTTGCCAAAAAGCGAGAAAAACTGGAAAAAGTTATCTGCAAAGGCTGTTGGGAGCCCAGCTGGAGAGCAGGCAGAGGAAAGCACAGCTGCAGGAGCTGCTGCAGTGGGACACCTCTGTGCTGTGCTAGCCAGGGCTGGAAGGGAAGGCTGGCATCTCGGGATCAGCCTCTCCAAAGGTGTCCTTGGAAAGGAAAGGAAGAGGTTGCAGCTCCGTGCCACTCCAGCCCAGCTGCAGGCTCTGCTGGGTGCTGGGAGCTCTTTGTGTCTGCACTGACCCTCTCCCGTGGCAGCTGCCACACTTGCTCAGCAAACACTCAGGACATTGCATTTCTGGGGGAGAGGATTGTTCTGAGGATTGCTGTGCTGCTTTATTCCAGAAAATCAAATTAGCTCCTCACTACCCCATATCCTAGCAAGAGCTCCCTCCTGCAGGAGCATCCTCCTGCAGCAGGTGCTGGGGAAAACAAGGCAGAAGAGCTCGCTCCAAGCCAGGGGGGTCAGGAGGAACAGGGAGAAAACACAGAACCTTAACATCTCCCTCCCTAACCTTTAGTCTGTGAAACCTTCTCTGGGGGAAGTGACACCTTTTTTCTGCCTGTGAGGGCGGTCCCACATTGTCAGAAAAAGAGTAAAAAACCCAAGGTTTTGAGAGGAAGTTTATTTGCTGCGTCACTCTATTGGACACAGAAATGATATTAAAAAATTGAACTGAAAAGAAAGGAGATCACTAAATCAGTAAATTCTAGGGGTTTACTGACAGCCATGTACTGACCCTGGTGAAGATGTTAATTCACTTCAGTGGTTATAGGAAAAAAGCACAGTGGAAAATAAGGGAAAAAAAGAGGAAACAACGTAAGATATTTTTCTGCTTTCTAAACACTAACTAATCAATCAGCTGAGTTTTTGCTAGATAAGAAAGATCCAGTGGTGGCTCTTTGTGAGACACTTAACACACAGAGACTTTTTAGAAATTATTTTTGCCCAGGAGACAAATGTGTAACCATATGATTTTTCCCCCTGCTATGTTAAAAATGCATTTATATTTTTTCAAGCACACCCCGATTAAAGAGGGCACATCTGTTTTAAGTCCTTCTTTATGAAAATTACTGAGCTTCCTCTGAAAGCTTATCTTTTAATTTCAAAATTCTTTGTAGCAATAACTTAGATAATAACCAACCATATTTCTGTCTTCTTTAGAGGAGGAAAAAAGAGAGAGAGAGAGAAAGAAAGAACCATTTTGAGCTTTGAACTCCCCCTCCCTCCCCTGGCTGGGTCTCCTTTGAAAAGGCCCCCCTGATTTGCGTTTAAAATGGCAGTTTCCTAGCGCTTGATTAGTGTTGGTGTGGGATAGCAGGCGCTGGGAGCGCCGGGCTCAGCTTGAGCCCTGCGGATTATTCATCAACTTCCCCGGCAGGGGGGAGCCTGCCCCTCTCCCGCTCAGCCCCAGAGTCTGCAGCTCTGCTTTTAGCAGCTTTCATTTCTCCTTTTCACCAACTTCTTTCTTTTCCCCCCTTTTTTTTCCCCCTCTTCTTTTCCTTTTTCCCCCCTGAAGGGGTAACCTGAGCGTTCCCAGTAGCGAATCGCTGCTCCCAGCATCCCATCGCTGCTCCCAGCATCCCTGTCCATCCCTGTCCATCCCTGTCCATCCCTGTCCTGTCCATCCCTGTCCATCCCAGCCTATCCCTGTCCATCCCTGTCCATCCCTGTCCATCCCAGCCCATCCCTGTCCATCCCTGTCCATCCCTGTCCATCCCTGTCCTGTCCATCCCAGCCCGTCCCTGTCCATCCCTGTCCATCCCAGCCCATCCCTGCCCATCCCTGTCCATCCCTGTCCATCCCTGTTCATCCCTGTCCATCCCAGCCCATCCCAGCCCATCCCACCTCAGTACCTGCCCGCTCCCAGCATTGTCTGAAGCAAAGATCATTGAAGCACCTAAAGGGGCACCTGCAGAGGCACTTGGCTCTATCAGCACGCCCCAATTGTGCCATCCCCTCCACTCCTGCTGCCCTGGTGTGCTGATGCCTCGTCTTTATTCAGGGCTGTGTCCGTGTTCCCAGCACTGCAGGAACATCCACCGGGACTGCTCCCAGCCTTTGGAACACCGGCTCCAAAGCAGCTCTGAGCAGAGTCCTGCAAAGCTGCTCCTGGGCACCACTCCTGGGCACTGCTTCTGGGCATTGCTTCTGGGCATCGCTCCTGGGCACCATTCCTGGGCACCACTCCTGGGCATCGCTCCTGGGCACCATTCCTGGGCACCGCTCCTGGGCATTGCTCCTGGGCATCACTCCTGGGCACCGCTCCTGGGCACCACTCCTGGGCACCGCTCCTGGGCACCACTCCTGGGCACTGCTCCTGGGCCTGGCTGTGCTGTGTGCTCGCTGTTACTGTCAGGATGCTGAGGATGATGAGGATGTTGCTGCTGCTGCTGATGCTGATGATGAGGATGATGATGATGATGATGATGAGGATGATGAGATGATGGTGATGATGGTGATGATGATGCTGATGATGAGGATGATGATGATGAGGATGATGATGTTGATGAGGATGATGATGATGAGATGATGATGATGATGATGATGATTCAGAGCCGTGCAGAGGGGATGTCTTTGTGCAGAACACAAATCAGCAGCAGGCAGTATTGAATGCAGCCCGGTGTGTCCCTGAGCGAGTGGGGCTGAGCAAGGGACCTGCAGGAGATGCAGGGAGAAGCTGAGGAGCCCTCAGGGATGTCACTGAGCTGTGGCAGAGCACGGGGACACTGCAGAGGCTTTGCCCAGAGCCCTGGGGACAGGGGCCAAGCCACCGGTGCCAGGCTCATCCTCACGGGTCCTGTCAGTGCAGCCACGCACATCCTGTGTTCGAGGGGAGAAATATCCTGCAATGTTCCACACACCTGAGAGCACACCTGGGACATGCCAGGGGAGCAGCAGGCTCAGCACTCAGGCCAGAACAGATTCTAAATAAAATGCAGCTTTTACACCTTGAGCTCACTGTTACTGGCACCAGGAACCACGGCCCTTTCTGACAGGGCTGCAAACCCAGGCAGCAGCATCGTCTGCAGCATGGGCCACCAGGCATTGGGGGTTTTGGAAGTTAAACAAAACAGATTTTTTAAATCAGTAACCACAAATATTCCAAGGGAAGCAAGTGAAAAGATGACAGATGTTTTGCATGTAGGCAAAAGCAAACTTTAACACGATGTAAAATGTGTGAGAATGATTTAAACTCAATGGCAAAATTAATTATTGGAGGTTTAGAATTGTAAAGCACCATTTGGGCTTTACAGAATGTTCAAAATAAAGAAAATAACTCAGGTATTTATTGTTTTGCTTCAATTTACATCGATGCTATAAATAGGTGACAAGAAATGATGACAAATAAGCTATTGTAACCCTTTGGGAGTTTATTAGGTCATTTGTAAGAGGTCTGAATAGAGTCATTTGTTGCCCTCAGGTGTTTGAGAGTCTCTTTACCCTTGGGAAAGGAATTTAACAAAGGAGTGTATTTCAAAGCAGGCACTCTGTGTTTTCCACCCTTTTTCTGAAGTGTTTTCAAACACGCTTCAAGCTCAAAACTCTCAGAAGTGAGAAAAGGAGGTTTATATCAGATGACCCCTGAGGCAGCTGACAATCCGGGGGAGCAGAAGATGGGGTCACATTTTAGATGCTTGAATCCCAAATACATTTTCACTATAGGAGGCCCTGATTTATTTTCGCCCCACCCACTGGGTGCAAACTTTGAAATGCACAATACAGAAGTGTTGGACTAATGCCCTACTTGCGTTTTTTTATTTGGCTGAAATGTGACATGTCTTATTTCTCTGTCTGCTTCCAAAAGCACCGGGCAGGTCCTTTGTTCCAAAAAGCCATTGCATCTGCCCTAATCCATGGATGTCCCGGATCAGATGGAGCATTAGCATTTGTTCAGGCTGTGATGACACAGGGTGTCAGGCCATGGCAATACAGCCATCAAAACCAACCTGCCAAAACAGCTTGGGGAAACAAACAATACAGCTTGGATTGGCCAGGGAGCATCCAGGTAAGCTCTGCTCCAAAAGCAAGGGCCTGGGCAGTCCTTTCGTGGGATGAAGGGTGGAAAGAGAGGCCAGGAGAGAGGAAAAATGGAAGAAAAATGGGATTTTGTCTGTCTGTATTTTTTTTCAGTGTGATTTTGTTCATGGGTCCCAGAGAACAAACAGTTTAACATCAGCCATCTCGGCTGCAGCTCAGGAGGTGTGATCAGACAGAAGCCTGAATGCAGTGGGCATTTCTGACCTACATTTTGGGAGCTGAGCACTGCCTGTCTGTGTGTACATAACTCACAGCAAAACTGTCTCTGTTCTCCCAGCTGGGGGAGGGATTTCTGCATTCCCAGCGCCCTCCAGAGCTGCTTACACAGGTTCCCACAGCATCCCAGAGATGGTCCTGCAGCTCTGGCTGCTGTCCAACTCTTCTGTCACAGAAAAACCCACTTCCAGCAGCTTAGGAAACCCACTTAGCAGCAGAAAGGAGCCAAGTACTGCAAACTTTGCAGCCGAATTTAGGGTGTCAGTGGAATAAAGACACCATGGTACTGCACAGAGCTCCCCTGCACAGGGAATGAGGCTCAGGAGGAGTCCCAGACTGGCCAGTGGAACACCCTGCAGGACTGGAATCCCTCTGGCCCCATCCCACTCCTGGATGGATCCAGGCTGGTACTGCCAGGGAGGCTCAGCAGAGCAGCAGCAGCTCCTGAGCCTGCAGGAGGCTGCAGACCCATCCCCACCACTCTCAAAATGATTTCCTGCCCTTATTCAGGGCATCAAGAGCCTGCTGTCATCCACTTGGACTGCACTTGAACCCTCTCTCAAGTGAATGCCCTGCAGCTCTTGTCTTCAAACGCTGGTGCCCATCCTTTTTGATCATCCAAGTCATGCAGATTTTTCAAAGGCAGAGCTGATGCTCACGGCCCCTCTCCTGCTTTCTGATTTCTTGACTGGACTCACTGTGCATTCAGTGCACAAGTCATTCATGCAAATAAGGCACTGCATACTCAAAAGATGTCCAAGATGAGGAATAGCTGAGATCAGACTGCCCCTATTGGAATAATGTGTAGTCCACCTACCTTTTACTTAGGCTAAATCTGAGAGTGTACAAAAACTTGTAGGCAAATATTTTAACCATGACTCCAGCTTATTGTGGCTGCCACTCATTCCTGGTTACTCTGTCTCTTTATGGCTCTTTCCATACCTTGCCCACATTGTCCTGGATGTTCCCAGAGACCACATGCATCCAGCTTGGACAGACTGACTGACTCCTAAGCAGCCTCTGGTGCAAAGGACCTGAGGAGTTTTGTCAGGACAGTTTTTGTGCAGGAAAAGTACAGAAGAGTTCCTTGGCATGCCTGGGGAAATCTGTAATCCAACAGCTCAGGGCATTTGAAATTAAACACCTTCAAGAACAGAGAGCATCTGAGCAGGAGATTCCAGCAGCAGCTTGGTTCTCAGCTCAGGGCAATACAAGGTGACAAACATGACTTCAAGTCTTGACAGACAAATATAGGAGGAAGAAATAAGAAACTTTTAAATGCCTTTGAGACACTGCAGCAGTGTCAGTGTCAGTGTCAGTGTCAGTGTTGTCAGTGTCAGTGTCAGTGTCAGTGTCAGTGACAGTGTCAGTGTTGTCAGTGACAGTGTCAGTGTCAGTGTCAGTGTCAGTGTCAGTGTCAGTGACAGTGTCAGTGTTGTCAGTGTCAGTGACAGTGTCAGTGTCAGTGTCAGTGTTGTGACAGTGTTGTGACAGTGTTGTGTCAGTGTTGTGTCAGTGTCAGTGTCAGTGTCAGTGACAGTGTCAGTGTCAGTGTTGTGGCAGTGTTGTGGCAGTGTTGTGACAGTGTCAGTGTCAGTGTCAGTGTTGTGACAGTGTTGTCAGTGTCAGTGTCAGTGTTGTGACAGTGTTGTGGCAGTGTTGTCAGTGTCAGTGTCAGTGTTGTGTCAGTGTTGTGTCAGTGTCAGTGACAGTGACAGTGACAGTGTTGTGTCAGTGTTGTGACAGTGTTGTGGCAGTGTTGTGTCAGTGTCAGTGTCACCAACACCCCAGCCCTGTGGCCAGGCACAGCCCCAGTACCACCGGGCCGCTCATTGTCACGCACGGCACTGACAGAGGCTTCCATGAAAACATTTCAAAAATGATTCTGCAAGTTAAGAAAACATACTTCAGCAATTACCACTTCCTTCACCATGAAACCAAATTCACTGTACATTACAGCTTTAAAGCTGAGATCTGAGGTTCAGATCAAGTCTTTAATCCTGACTGTGGCTTCGGGTACTTCCTGATATTTATGAGAAATGCTCCAGGCCTGCAGCTGGGCTTTGAACAAAAAAATAATGAACTTCGTTGACTGTGAACAAAGTTCTGCGCTATTTTGAAGAAAGTTAAGCTGTGACATTTTTAAATGCAACACAAAATCACATAACCCAAATTCTCTGCATAATTCAGGAAGGTTCCCAATGAAAAGACAATTAGATAAAACTGGGTGGCTAAATGAGCTGAAATCAATCTATCTAAAATTCAGAATTCTTGTTAGCCTCTCTCCTGAATCACTCCCATTTCACTATATCATATTGGAATCAAAACACTGTTCGGCTCTAACACACTCCACACACTAACTCTCCATCTCCTCCTGCTAGTTAAAAACACAGCTAATAAAGGATATCCTACAGAATTTAATATTATTCATTGAATATGGTTCACAAATCTAATTACAGTATTAACTTCTGGAGGCCTTGTTCCTGTCTGTATAATGTGTTTAATACAGCTGTTATTGAGAACTTCTGCCAAATCACTTCTTGCTCACTTCACGCAGGATTTGCACACAAAATAAATGTCAGCTAGGCCTGATCTGAATTTTTAATGGGCAGAAATGAACAGGAGGTATCAAGTTGATAGAGTACAGGCAATTTCCACAGGGGAATGTGTAGCATTACACAGGGGTGTAAGTAAGAGGCTGTTTTCTCTGCAGGAAGAGAGGGCACAGCGTGACAGAACAGGGCTGGGAGGAGCAGGGAGGAGCTGCAGGGATGGGTGAGCAAGGAGCACACAATCCAAAGCTGCCTCTGACTGCACACAACACATCCCTGGCAGGGACAGGAGAAGTCCTACACCTGCTCCATGAATGCAGCAAGGGGTGTTCTAAGAGAGGAGACACACGGAATAAGGGCTCCGACAAAAGGAACAAAAATCTGAAGGAAAATATCAGAAATTAGGATGAAAAAAGTAGACTAGGGAACAGCAGGGAAATCAAAGTTTGTACATTTATTTACTCTTCTTGAGAGAATGTACTTCCATGCTATTTGTTTTGCAGTTGTGTATTATCTCCCTGTCTCTCATGCCTTTTGCCTTCTGCTCTGGGATGTCGATCCTGCCTTGCCTGCCCCTACTCTGGCCAGGGCACTAAATCAGGCTCCCCTGTGCATCAATTCCTCTACCCCGAGCTCCGTTACAGGAAACAAAACGTGACCCTCTTGCTTCAGCACAGCAAACAATGGGTTTTCTTCTGCCTTGAGATTGTGCCTTTTCTGGGGTTAGCATTTGCAATACACTTAAACATTACAGGAAAGGTAGTGCAGTTCTTTCCTCACTGTGTGCATTGGAGACATTTATTTATTTACCATTCAGGATCCCAGAGCGCTGCTCACTGCACAAGCTAACAGCTGTCTGCTGGTACAGTTCCTGCCTCCTACCTCCTCAGGCATCTTTTTCCTGTTTATACTTGTACATCAAATGGGCCTTTGGAAAAATCCCTGATTTTCTTTTGTTCTGTGCTCTTTGTTCTGTTTCCATGCGGTCTTTTCCCCTTTGGAGATGACATGGATGGGAAATGGCTCATTGTAGCAACAGGAGACAGAAGGCAAAAACAATTGCATCACGGGTAAAGCAAACATCAAAGTGGAGTCCAAGCCAAAGAGTTGGGGGAAAAAAAATCATATGTGATATTCTGACGTGTGGAAGTCCAGCTTGGGAGGATTTTTGTCCACACAAAAATAAAGAGCAAACAGTTTTCCAAACATTGTCTGTCTCGGTGTTTGTGTGAACCTGGCTGGGCTGAGGACATGATGGACCTGCTGCCTTTTCCACATCCCCTCTGACTATGAAAATCCTCTAAGGCCACCTGCACAGCTGGTTTTGACTGGATAGAATTGTTTAAAAAAAGCAGGTCTGAAAGACTGTGAAGCAAACTGGAACCTATCTTTCACTAAGTACTAATTAACTGTCTGACAGCCCACGTATAAAAATTAGAGTGCTTATTGTTGATGTTTATTTTCACTTTAATAAGGAATTGCTGTAGGTAGCCAGCCTGATTAAGTACTTTTAACAACTCCCTTCTAAAGATAATTAAGTTCTACAGTGAAATGCAAGGAATTTGGCATAAAAAAACCATTAAGCAGGCAGATATTTTAAATGAATAAACAAACATAACTCTTTCCAACAGACACATTCTGCTTTCTCATGATTTACATAACACAAATGACTTTGACAACATCTTTATATTCTGTTTATCTTAAAATACTGCTGAGCCAAAAAAATCTGCATATTGTGTTTCTGCAGCTTTAAACCTCTGACCTGCTGGAGAGTTCTGCAGGCTACAGAGCAATAAAAGCTGTCACTGTGGGTGAAGAGCCCGTGGCGAGGAGTAATCAGTGCTCTTAAAAGCATTGAACATGCCACATCTAAGTGTATGCATTGAGTTTGTTAAATATTTATCCAAATTTATATGTGAATAATGGAAATCACATGCTAAAAGTACTTCAGCTGTCTTTAAGCAGCAGCATCAACATTTTCATAATTTGAAAGCTCTTCTTTTTAACTTCTTAAAGAGAACCTGGTTTCGTGAGTGTGGTGCTGTGCTGACATAGTAAGCACAGGAAAACTGGCTTTGAGGACAGGCTGACAATATAAATGAAAAAAATTTTTTAAGTATAAATGTTAAGTGTCACCCACTTCTACCTGGAATAGCAGAGAACCAGGAAAAGAAACCTTGTTCACTGCAGGTACCTCAAAAATCGTAAATGACCTCACAGGACCAGAGCAGTCTTTCACAAAGGTAAGTATTTATTAGGTAATGTTCTCTCTGGTCCCTTGAAGTCTCCAAACACGTCACAGCCATTTACTCTTTAAGCTGAGGCACACCTGTAAACAGAAATGGTGCATGTGAGTCCTGGTGCCATCTTCTCATCCTGTTTTTCATGGAAAACTTGCTGGAGAGTTGATTCCCACTTCAGACCTCTTCCCCCAAGCTTAAGGTTTGCTAGCTCTGTGGTGAAGCCCAAAATCCAAGTTGTGGCTCTCTGTAACAGCCATGGCAACTGGGCCAGCCTCAGCTCTCTGCAAAAGCTTCTCTTGCCCAGTTTGATTGCTGGGCTGATGGACAATGTCCCTCGGGGTCAGGACATTGTCACTCCTGGGGTTTGACCTGTTGGTGCTCCACCAGGTTGTGTCACATCACTCCTGGTGACAGCTCCACGCTCAGTTCTGCTGCCAAGAGAGGCTGTCCTTCCATGGCAGTGAGGAAGAAATGATGCTTATTTTTATTTATCATTTAATAAAACCACTTAATAAAGTCAAAGTAAAAAGGTGTTTTAATAGATCTGTTGTAAGGGTTGCGTTTCATTGTTCTATAGTTCCATGTCAGTTTGATTAGTCAGCTAAGAAGTCACAATTTCTAAGGACTGATATTTATTTTATTGCTGTGAGATACAGAGCATTAAACACATGCATTAATTAGAAGCACTTTAAAGTATTTTAAACGCATCAGTAAGTTTTCATGCAGCTCATCTGATTGATTTTAAATTTCCCAAAATATAGGGATTTGGTAAATGAACAGAAAGAACCTCACGGCTGATGGAAGGTGACCGGGCTGCTGCTGGAGCGTCTCGGGCCCAAACACGCGCAGGGGCTGAGCCGGGCGGCGAGCGGGCTCCATTCCTTGTTTGACTGCTCCACCTCCTGGCCAACAGAAATCAATGTTCATTTACCGCTGGGCACGGAAAGCCCTCAGCGGGAACGGCGTGCGGAGCTCCCGCCGGGCCCCCGGGGACAGCGCCCCGAGCCGGGCCGCAGCCGG